TATCTGGGCTTCAGGAAGGGTGAGGAATACACTGAATGGTTTTACCTGTCAAAAATTGAATGACAATATGTGCAACATGTGGTTTGGCATTACCATGATGAATCATCCAGTATCTAACAAGCTCCGGTTGTTTTTCCTGATGTAGTCCATGAGAACTGAACAGTAGTAAGTTCAAATGATAGTTGTCTTAGGTGGTACTGTGTGCATGTAAATCATTCCATGGCAATCAAAAAACACTATTGTCGTACTTTAACAGCTTATTGAGAGATACGGTTGTTTTTGTTCCCCCCCACCTTTGCTACTTGCTCTCAGAATCATACAGATTAATCCATGTTTCATCACTTGTTACAACATATTATAACCACTTATTTCCCTCTTCTACAACACAAGATTTCCACAGCTCGCAGACTTCAGTGCAGTTTACTTGGACATCAGAATTCTAGGAATCAATCTCGCACAGATACAGGACATGATCGAATGATCCTTCAAGATAATGTGCATACTCCCTACAGTCAGACAATTTTCTAATGGTAACTTGTCGATCTCACACACTAAAACTGGGGTGGTATTCACAGTCACATTGTTAATTGCAGTTGAAGGAGCTCCCAGCCCACTCAGTTTCTCAAATGATTCCCAACCTTCTTTAAATTCATCGAACTGTTGAAGTTTCATTGACTGAGGCTCTTTTAAAAAATTGAAGTTTTCTTTAAGCCATAACAAAATTTAATTGTGGCATGTTGTTCTTTTTTTAACATCAATCATCATGGATGTGTGACTTTGGAGGCAGGACAATCATAGCTTGTAATCAAGGTCACATCACAAGCACAACTAAACATGCAAGGCCATGTAACTGCAGATGCGGACTCACAACTGCGAGTGCTACCTATCACCATAAATGAAAGTTCCCTCAAGACTTCAAACATTTTATAAAACATCATTCTCAATTACAACCATGGTAGGCGCAGAGCCTGCCATCGACAGTTGATAAGGCAGACATTTGAAAGATGCGTCGCCGGTTCGTAGACCGTGCGATCCGCCTCCATTTATTCAGAGTCACCAAGGCAATTCTCAATCTTTGTTGAACAGCACTTTTATTTTAGAACTGTTACTCTCTATTCTGGGAATTATGGTAGGCACTTGTCTCATTTGATATGACTGTAAATAAGAATCTGTGGGAATCCTTTATAGAATACATTTTAATGTTTCTGTTTAGTTGATTACTGGATTCTTACTCTGTCAGTTGAGAATTTTAATCTGATGTCTAAAAATTGCAGCTGTGTTCTTAGTTGGGATCTGAGAACAATAAGAACTTTTGTAATGCTGGAATAGCATGTTCAAAAAATTTCAGAAACACAAAATTGATCTGCGATTGCTAGAGAGATTCATGAATGTATATTTCCTTTTCCTATATGTCAAATACTTAAGTACTTGATTTTCATTTAATTAACATGTGAATAATGGAGATGTGACTACAGTCATCTTTCATCAAGTATGAAATACACGTAATTATTTCTGCCGTATTTAACATGATAAAACATTGACAAAGACTGCGCTTCTATATATGTTGCTTTCTTATTTTGATATTAGGATTACAATTTTGGAAATTCAGGAATTTGAACGTTATTGCCAAGGTAGTTTCTGTCTATAATAATTTTTGATTTTTTAGCATAAATGTACTATCTCTTACTTCAAATTATTCAGTGAGGTATTGTTTCTCAGTGTTTGCCTAGTCACTGGTGTTGAAATAGGTACTTGTAAGATTTGAGGTTTTCACAGCGGTGAGTATGAAGATTTCTGTCTACTGGGTTGTTGCGCTGTGTAGTCTGATAGATGTTTACCAACATTTCAGAAGACAGAAATCTTCAAATAGGTATGTGGGGCATATACAAATGATTTAGACTAACCTGAATTATGTGATCCTTGATGGTGGTGGCTCCCAGGTTACACTTCGGCCCGTTCAACATATTCTCCCTGGAGGTTGATGCACCATTGCCATCTCTCTGGCAATTTCCGTATTACCTCACGAAACCATTGTTTGGGGGTGTCTCAAACCCACTCCCTGACAGCATCATGTAAGGTGTCACTATCGGGGAATCGGTGACCACGCAGGGGATTCTTCATCTCACGGAAGAGGGCATAGTCACTTGGTGCCGGGTCGGGGGAATAGGGCGGGTGTGGGAGCACAGTGAACCCCAGTGATTGCACCTCAGCTTGAGTCTGTTGGCTGGTGTGTGGGCGGGCATTGTCCATCGCTTGTCAGACTGGTTACTGTCCTGTGGGACTAAATGATGCTGCCCGCGGCACTTCCCACGACGCTGTGGCGCCATCTCTCGGCCACATGACCGTCAAGGTCAACACTCGGATTACACCAAGGCAGCAGACTGCTGCCACCTGCCGGATCGAAATCATAGCTTCAGTCTAAATCATTTGTATACAACCCTTTGTTTGAGTCACTGTTAGTAAACCATTGTGCACAATTCAGGGTTCTGAACCTGTGTGGCTCATCAGTCAGTCTGAGTCCTGTGAAAGCAGTGTTGCTTCAGTGTCCGCTGCTGGTCTCACTGAACCTATCATCATGCCGAGCACTGCCTCGTGGCATGAAGAGGCTGTACGAAGGAAATGAAGTGAATGAGCTGCGAAGCACATTTGAGGAAAAGCCAGAAGCTGATAAGGTTGATGGAACATCTCCAAAACAAGAAGAGATAGAAGCTGAGAACATTGTTGGACAAAATGACCAACAAAATGTTGTGCCAGTGGTAGGAGAAAGTGGTGGCAATAGTTTGAACTAAGTGGAATTTGGCATTTCTTTCATGAGTATGGTTGTGTTTCTTGAGTAGCTGGAAATCTTGTACTAATGTGCTTTTCATTTTCTTCCAATGATCTTATTCTATAAATACTTGTTAAGATTTTAATGAGATTTTAAAGTATTATGTTGGACGGGAAAACTGATACATACTCTGTCTGCAATGGTTCCTGTTATAAATACAGAACTGGAGTAGAGTTTGAGAATGTTTCTCATAACTGAGCTTTTTCATTGAATTTGCCTGTGTGCTTGTGGTTTAATACATGCTGTATATAAGCTTTATGCACGTGCACGCACGTACATGCACGCATACAAATAACTGTGTATGTACAGAATGTTTTAAAATGATATCTACAGACTTTCATTGAATGAAATAAATGCATTTGAATGAACTAAACCTTTACACATATCAACATTGGCATGTAGTGAATTACCAAATATGTGTACGTGTTAGCATTGTGGCACAGTTGACGGCATTCAGTAACTGATTGACAAGCTGCCACCAATGTTGCTGCTGTGTATATATCTTTTGGGATACATTTTGTGTGTGTGTCCCTCCTAACTTTGTGACCTCAAATAACTCTTCTTTTAACATATACAAAAAAATGTTTCAAATAAAATGTATGCAGTGTCTAATGGGATATGCATTAAGCAGTAGAATATTCATTATGGAATCATTACTTTCAAGTTATCAAGGTTACTTCCTGGTTTTCAAATGGAATCTTATTTATTTTTTAAGCCAGATTTGAGATGAGTTCGTATAACACATTCATATTGTATGAACCGATACTGAGATGTCACCACTCAAAGTATGAGAGACAAATACATCAGTATGTTTTCACATTCAAAATTATAATATTCATGTAAAGTTACAGTAATAACTGTTCAAAAAGGGTAGCCATTGGCATCAATACACTTCCAGATGCATTGAATTGAGGGAATTTACAGATAGCATAGTTTGAAGTAATACAGCAAGAGCATAAGGCTGCAATAATGCATTGTTGCATTTTTCTGCTGCTGTGGTTGGTGGTTCCTCAAAGAAAAAAAGGGTTAAATCTCATGAATGTGGTGGCCAACCAACATTTCCACTGTGTCCAGTCCAGTGATCAGGAAACTGTTCATGAAGTGTTTGTCTCAGTATGTGTGCCTAATGTGGAGGACAACCGTCATATCATACCACATTGCCAGATGAATTTGCAACAGTAAATATTCTCTGACGAAAAAGGTGAAAAGCTAGGTACCTGCATTCTGGTAATGATACTTCAATGAAGTACTGCCGAGGGATATGATCATCAGTGATGCTGCACCAGACGTTCACTCCCCATCACCGTTGATGATTGACTTGCCTAAGTCAGTGAGAATTTTCAACAGACCAGAAATGTATGTTCCACAAATTGACATGTTAATCATTTGTAAAGAAAGCTTGATCAGTAAATAAATCATTTGTGTGCGTGCGTACATGTGTGTGTGTGTGTGTGTGTGTTGTATAAAGCTGAGACACTTAGTCCTATATTTATCTCTGACATGATTATTTTGTAAAATCAGTTTGAATATGTTCACACTTCTATAATTTTTTTCCCCTCTGAATAATACATTTAATTTGTTTGCTCATACATTGTTTATTTCTGTTCAAAATTCTAATTCGAATTGGAATTTGTTTCACTGATGGTAACTGTGTAAGCATAGTATCATCCTTATGGTCAATTCATTATGATAAAGTGTGAAGGCTGAGGTATCCCAAGGCAAACACATAGTTGAAATGCTCATGACATCACCACCAAGCTATTGGTTGAGTGGTTGACTATTATTTTAATTTTTTCCTACAACATTATTTAAAAATTTGTAGAAGCTTATCAAAATAACTTACAATATGTGCATATGTATGAGGAAGACTGTGTTAGTGTCACTTATGCTTTGAATGTCCACAATAAGAATTTATTAACTGACTCATCTCTTTGTTTGTATTGTAAAAAGCCATCCCATTACATGCCGATGTTGGGATTTAGGAGAGAGGAGATATAGTACCCACTCATTCTCAGCATCACCAGTAGAAGGGGGTGAGTGGTCAGCAGCATGCCCTGGCCACACTTTACCCCCGGGAAGGGACCCCGGTACCCATTGGACAGAAGGCTGGGTGGGCCCCAGAGCTGGTCTGGATGCAGAAGCTAGAAGGAAATCCTCTGCCTCTGTTGGGGACTGAACCCTGATCATCCAACCCACAGCCAGTCAATATACTGACTGACCTACCTGGCTCACTTGTTTATGTTATACATGGCCATTTTTTCCCTTCATTATGAAACTGGACTGGATTTTGTTGGCCCAGGACAGGGTCCAGTGGAGGGCTTTGGTCAAGTCGGTGATGAACCTCCGAGTTCCATAAGCCATGTAGTTAGTTTACAGTTATTTGAACTTTGACATATATTCAAAGAATTTACCAGCTGTTTGTGTATTACGATTCTCTCCTGTATTCTTTTTCCAGTGATAAGACATTAACATTTACTTAGTTGTTTCTGCATTACTTCTAGATCAGTCTTCTTACCAGTGTCTAGAGTTTCCATGTTTCTATTTATGGCAGGTACTTATATTTTGCGGTTCCGCAGTGGCCGCGGGGTCTGAGGCGTGGGCCTTGTGCTGCTTGGTCGCTGGGACCGTGGGTTCGAATTCCACTCGAGCCATGGATGTTTGTCTGCATTTTTCTGTGTTGTGCTGTCCTGTGTACAGGTAGAGGCCTTGCGACGGGCCGATCCCTTGTTCAAGGAGTCCTACCGAATGTCTATAGATCAAGCCAACAAAAAGTTGGGACCCCCAGTGCTCAGGCACTTGAAGAACGGGTCGTTCCCAGTACCCAGTACCAGTACTTATATTTTGCACAATAATTTCCATAATGAAAATGTGGTTTTATTTATTTAGTCACCATTAGTTTATAGTGTGTACAGCTATTTGAGCCTTATGTGTTTGTCTGTGAAACCTCCATTTGATATTGCAGATTATAGACCTAAAATTATTGTTGTCAGACAAAAATAGTGAAAAGCATTGAGATGGGGCTAGTTATAAATGGTTTGTATTAGCCACAAATATGTGTACTACATTTCCTTGAAAATTTGAGGTTCTGATAATGGTAAAAGTGTTGATTTTATATTTCTGGTTTGTGGCACCATGTGTACTTGTGGATAGATACCAACATTTTGGAGAAACATGTTGCCTCCATCTTCAGCCCTGAAGATGGAGGCTAATTTTTCCAAAACATTGATCTTTGCCTACATCTCCACAGTGTCATATCATTATACAATTTTGAGAAGTATTGTAAGATCTTTGGAAGAAAATATAAATATGATGCCAACGAGTCAAGTTATGTGGTTATGTCATATGTCAGGGAAGTGTCAATGCACTATTAAAAATACTCAAAAAGCTGCAGCTTTGTAGTTCAGTGCTTGTGTGACATAGGTAAAGAAATTAAATTTAAGGCTCACAATCAAGTGTGGTGTATTGGGAATAAATACAAAGTGTATTTTTTATCTATAGGTTGATACTGTATTGTATGAATGCCTATATTTAGCTAGAAATTGGTACCGTCATAAAAGGTTGATGATTAAAAAGTTTTAATGATAAATGACACACTACTATTTCCTTGTACACCGCTTTCATAATACACTGCCTAGTAAATAATAAATTGGTTGAGGTGCAGTGACAAGAAATGGAAATGGATGAAGTTGCCATTAGATTACAGTCATCCATAATTTTAGATCCAATAAATTGATGTGATTTATGCTTATACATGCTCAGATGTTCAAGTGAAGGATTCTTCATTATGCATAAATTACGGTCCTGTAAATTTTTAATGTCAGAATTGATTACATTCTTAATATTTGCTTCATCTGTTACTTAGGAAGCTTGTACCTTTATTACTTTAAAAGTGTGAGGTATTAAGTTTTGTTTTATATTTAATCGAGTTTGTTTTTTATCTTAAACGTGTATACTGTCATCACATAAGAAATTTATTTCCGGACAAAGACGTGCACCGAGTAATGCAAAGTTGTGAATATTGCCAGACTGTAGAATGAATACTTTGAGATGATAAAGTTGAACACGTCACTTCTCAGCTCCCAGCAGGAACTGCTATGGCGTAGGCAAGTTGATTTTGCTGCTTTTATGAAGTGGTACTTGACTCGTATTGGGAAAACCTTGTAGCACGTGGCAGTTAGTCATATAGTTCCAGCTGGAAGCTGGGAAGTTACAGTTGCCTAGTGAACGCAATGTATAAGGCATATGCATTTTATTCTTCAAAAGAGCAAAGTGTTGAAATTTATGGAGAGTGATTTTATAGTTGATGTTAGAAGTTCAAGTCCTTTATGGTTCAAACAAGAGTGTCTCTAATACAGAAGATGGGGAATACATTATAAATATTAACACAAATTTGAAACCTAAATAGTCAGGTGCTTCAATGAAAACAGTAAGAATATGCCAAATCTGAGATTATGAGTCATGAAGTTTCTTCAAGTAATGGAAAGGGATGTTTATTTTATGTAGTTCTATACGGGTCTGAGTCAGATATTTGCTGATAGCAGGGCTATTATGAAAAGGATCACTTGTGAATAAATACTAAAAGATCCAGAGCAACTGCACAAATTCACCATCACCTACACCCAATAGAAGTAACATTTTCTTTATAGAACCTCCTTTGAACTTTTCATTTGGGAAAAGTTACTCATCCTTGAAGTAATGTGTTAAGTATTTTATAAAATATACAGTCATTAGGGTAGTTTCCAGAAGGAACAAGGGGTTCTGGAAATACAGGTAGCCCTCGATTTACGCCGGGGATACGTTCCTGGACGAACCGGCGTAAATTGAAACTCTTTTATAAAGTAAATCAATGGGAAGTCAATGGCACCCAAACATTGACGAGTAATGTATTGGCATTACATTTAAAGCTCTGAAATAACGTAAATAAAATAAAGGGAATTTAAAAAATATATTTTATACACTTACAATCGGCAATTCGTTGGTCCCCGCGATTGACAGAGATTCTTTCATGTGATTGATGTGTACAGTCATCTCTGCTGTTATGCGATAGTTGCATTCATGTAAGACGCCGACTTATAGAAAATCGCGTAGTAAAAATAACCCCGGTACCTCCGCAGAGATTAAATTAGTCCTTTGAAAGTTTAAAGCGCCAGCATAAGAGCAAATTCGCATATGCAAAAGTTTGCATTTCACAAACATCTGTTACCAATACATCGATCTCATTAGAGGAAATTCGTGGTAAACCTACTTGTATTGCTTCCATCTATATACAGAGCCTTATATATAAATTATTATAAATGGATTCACAGAACAAACTTGTGAGCCGGCAGTGACACTGGCATAATTTAATACTGGGTTCAGAAATGGTGTATGATAATAGATCTTCAGGAATTATGTAACTTTTGTTAAGATAATAATTTTAAGATGTAAAACATCAACATAGCAATTGAATAAAAATTTTCTTGGATATTATCCATCGTCTAGTAAATATAAAACGTAAAAAACGACGTTTCGGAGATGGGACTCTATGTCCCACGGATGGATGGTGTGGTAATGCCTTTTTATTCTGGGACTTTCACTTTTTTACTTTGTCCGGAGATAG